CAACCAGTGCAGTCTCACTGCAGCTTGCCACATTCAGAAAGCATTATTAATGGTGTGATCATCAGTGCTCTAAATCAACATGAACTCTGCTGCAGTTAAGATGCACATTTCTAGTTGCACTTATTCTCCCAAGATCCTCTTTCTTCAACCTGCCCCACTCCCAACTGTACTGAAATATTCAGAACTGTGCAGGGATCAGTGAGCAGCTGGAAGGATAAAGAAATCCTAGCAGCAGACAGCATACATCAGCCAAACTGAAAGAAATCTCTTTACCCTTTCCCCCAAAAATACAATAACCTTCAGAACTCTTACATCACTTTCCCCACATGATTACAATCAGTTCATTAACTATGCCAGTTTGACACTTGCTCTAGGTGGCAATTTGGTAGCTGGATAAAACTTTAACATTCCCCCACCCCAGGCATCACCCTGTATCAGACCTCAGCAAGAAGAGTGCCATTAAAGGGAGCCTGGCCTCCCTGCCCACAGCTTCCCAAAATAAACCTCAATCTGTGAGGAACATCAGTGCTGTAACACTATCAGAGCCTGATGCACACACTACAAGTATGAACAGCCCTGTCCATCACCAGACTGGGAATGGGTTGTTCTGCTGGCCACGAGAGGGAGTCCACAGGCTCTCATTCACATCCTATCACAATTCTTCACTCAAGTGAGGAAAATTTGAATTGTTTCTTGCCTTTCACTCATTAGCTGTGCACCCTTGGAGGAACAGCTTCCCAAGAACCAGAAAAGACACAGCTTAAACTGTAGAGCACTCCTCCAACAGAGGAGATAAATGCTGGCACTTCCACCTGTGGGGTTTTGTGTTTAATTCACATACATTCTAAGCAGGCTGGGGGAAGTGTGCTCAGCTGTTATCACACAGTTTTAAGCAGACAGCTTAGAACTACTCAGAGAATGAGCCAGATGTTTTCATAGTGGTAGTAAACGAATATAAACCATTAAAAGAAATCACTCCTCTTTCTAAATCAGCAGCACATACCCCAAAACAGTGTTCCCTCAATCCCTAATTAGTAGGAAACTGGAACACATGAAAATGCCCAACAATGTTGATTACCTCACCACCTTAAAATATTTGAGCTGTAACATGTAGAGAAACCATATGATGTAAAGTATTTAAACACAGACTGATTTCTGGTATTTCTTGATTTAAAGTTTCTTGGAAACCAACTGATAAACAAGACTAGGCACCTTCTGGCACCAGTTCTGCAACTTTATCCTGGTCAGAAACCACAGGTACTGAATTAACAAAACTGAAGTTACAAAGGCCTTGCTTTCAGTCAACAGCCACCACCAGCATGGGCTGAACATTGCCCCAAAAAGCAGAGCAGAAATTGAAGCAGAATTCAGCTACTACACAAGAGGACTTAGGCAGGACTGAAAGAGAATAGAGACCACTTTTTCAGCAGAGGAGCTTTAAAAACAGCTCCTCTCTTTCTCTTAGCAGTTAACTGACTAACTAGGTCTGAATAACAGGATACTTTGCATCCTGAAAAGTTAAGGGCACATCTTTTCTAAGAAGTTAGACAGATTTAGAAAGCTGTACTATTCCCAAGAAGTTTTGCCAATTCTGAAGTACGTGGTTTATTGTTGATGTCTACTTAAAATAAGCTAGAGCTCTACTATCTCAACAGAACATAGCCACAACGATAACTTCTTTTTCCTTTAAAAAACAACCTGCTAAAAAGCCAACAGCTCCAAATTCCTCAACAAAGATAACACAGTCAGCAACAATATACTATCTCTCCTGTTCCACACTTCAGGCCATTTGCTGCAAAGTATCTTAACAGCTTTTCACAAAGCAATGACCACCTGTTCCCACAGCTTGCAGCCACGGGGAAATCAACCACCATTACAGACACTTCCCAAAGGCATTTTTCAGCAGTGGTACCAACACCCCAAACAAAATTTGAATCTTAAACCGGACAGCATATCAAGCTCACTTAGTACTGGAACAATCTTTTTTATTTGCAAGTTATCTGGCTCTTCTTCTTCCCCTCACACATATATTTAGGCATCACAGTTAAACAAAAGCACCTGTGTTAACGTTTGAACACTAAGCATTGATTAGTCACAACTGTTTAGGCTTTCAGCAATCAAATACGAGCAATTCTAAGGTTACAACAGGCACCCAGTAAACATATGAGAGGTCCTGATAAGATCTAGTGTGCTACACCTTCCTAGGAAATGGCATCTACTGCAAGAAAACATTTTTGATCAACTTTTCAAAAGAACACTGCTGAAAACAGAACTATGAGGCGCTGGTAGAACAAAATACTTCAGTCTCCACAATAATCTCTCAGCACATGCTGTGGGGTGCTCAGATATTAAAATAAGGTGGTGGAAATCAAAAGCATATCGAGGACAAGATTGCACAACTGCATCACATTTAACAAGCCGCTCATTTGACACCACTTTGTAAATCCTAATCCAGGCAAAGGCTTTTCAGCTTTCACCTCACTGTTTCCCTCTCACAAGAGCCTCCACCTCCCACTCTACTCCTGTGACCGAGACTTCCACACACAACTCAGAGACGAAAGGAGAGTGATCTAACCTTTGTGTAACGATGTGGGTATTTAGTTGTAATTCTGTTCAGCTCCATGAAAGCATCGCCATTTTCAGTTTCTGTTGCTGCACCTCCTCTTTTATCCATGGTTACTTCAAAGCCTTTAACCGCGGAGCTAATTAAAACAAAACCAACCCGTCAGATTCCAAGACGTACCTTTCTAGAGGGTGCATTTTCTCTCCAGCCCGAGTCAGTTCAGCACTTGGGTACAGCAAAGTAGAGCCGCGCTCCCCAGCAGCGCCTGTTCCCTCCCAACCCTGCCCCTTCCCCCAGCCCAGCCGGGCGGCTCTGCCTGAAGGGTCCGAGCGGCCCCGGCAGCGCGGCCGGCCCTGCCCGCGCTCGGGCGCTCCGGCTCTCGCAGTATCGGTCTGCGGGCACGGCCGGGGCGCGCGGCCGCCGGGACCCGCACCCCACACAGCCCGCGGGGCCCTGAGGGGCCGGGCGCCGCTCGCCCCGCGCCGCAGGGGCAGCGCGGCCCAGGCACCGTCCCGAGGCGCCGGAGCCGGGGAGGGGAACAGCGGCAGCGGGGCAGGTGACTCAGCGGATCCCCGCCCGGCCGCACTCACCGGCGGGTGTCCCGCGCCGCTCCGCTCCGCTCAAGGCCTCACCGCCGCCCGCGGCGTTTCCTGCTCCGGCCGCCGGCCCCACTTCTCCCCCGCCCGCCCCCACTGAGGGGCCGCACGCGCCCCGGGCCGGCGCTGCCGCCGCCGCCGCCACCGCCCCCCCCCCAGCCCCGGCCACCCCGCGCAGCCCCGCGCGCCGCCGCCGCTCCCGCTCCGTCCGGCGCCGCCTCCGCTCAGCCGCCGTAGCCGGGGCCTCGCGCCGCCCGCTCCGCACCCATTTAACGCCCCGCGCGCAGGCGCGTCGGGCGCGCGCGCCGGGGGCTCCCCCGCCTGCCGCCTGCCCGGGAATGGGCGGCGGGAGGCGCTGACGGCGGCCGGGCTGCCCTCCCGCCCTGCGTCATCGCCGCCGGCCGCCCCGCGGAACCGGTGTCTCACCCTGCGAGCGGTGCGGTGGGTGAGGAGAGGCGCGGGGCTCGGTGAGGGCCTGCAGGCAGTCTGGGCGGGCAGCCCTGCGGGGGAGGCGGCCACCGGCGGGATGCGGTGCGCGCCATGTGCGGGGCGGCGGCGGGTCGGCGCGTCCCTGTCCCGGCACTGTCGCTGTGTCCCAGTCTCGCCTCAGGGGCAGCGCGGGGTCAGAGAAGGGCGGGAAGCGGCGGGGCGATCGCGACTGACATGGCCTGGGAGCGCGCTCGGCGGGCGCTCCCCTCGCCCCGCGCGTTCGCCGTGGTCACGGCGGGCTCGGGGGGGCTGCCCGGGAGCGGCCCGGCTCCCGCGGCTGAGGGGGGCGGTCCGGCCGAGCCCGCGCCGCTGCCCAGCCCGGCAGTGTGAGCGCAGGGTCCCGGTGTTCTCAGCCCGCGCCGGGCTCCTGTCACGTTGGAGTCTGGCGTTCTGTGGGATAGCAGGACTAGGTTGGTGCAGTGAGCGGAGCAGCGTATGCGAGGGCAGCGGAAAAGTCTTTCAGTTTTTGCTAATGAGGAGCAGACATTGTTTTCAACATCATTTCAAGGAATTTACTGAGCGAGATCGCCTGCTCCATTTGCCCGCAGCTCTGTCCCCGGCACTTGGATCCATTCTGCCATAGGAACCCAGCGGGGCCACAGGGTTTCCAAACACCTTGGGCAGTGAGGTCTGTGTAAGAAAACGGATTTCGTGTAGCATCTGGTCAATAAGGTGTTCTCTTCCCCGATCTATAATGAAGTTGAATACCAGAATTAAAATCTGGTTACCTGTGGAATGAGAGAAATAAATTTCTCACTTTTTTTCGTGACTAAGTGCTGCATTATTAATGAGACAGCACTGCAACTATTGCCAAGTCTCTTGAAGCCAGCAAGTACTTTCCAAACAAATACACAGGGAGACTCCATAGCAACCAGTGGGCCACTAGCCTCGAGCTGAGTGGTTATTATGAGATGCTGTAGGCTTTGAGACGGCCTGAGCTACGTTGTGTTTCACTGTCACCTTTGTGCCCGTCGCTGTTGTGAGCTAAACCAGGCTTTTTGGCTACCAAGGCATATCTGCCACAGGTGCCTGTTACAGCAGAAATATCCAGTGGCACAGAAGTGGCAGAACAGTTTTTTCTCAAGTGCAGCAACAGCTCCCTGCCGCGGCCGTTCAGCCAGCCCCTTTTCCTGCCCGTGCTCGGTAAATCCCGGTCACACCGGGGCTGTTCCCGGGGCCGGGACAGCGCTCGGCCCCGCCCCGCCGCACGGGGGCGCCCTGCTCAGGGGCCGGGCGGGGAGAGCCCGCCCCTCATGGCGGGGCCGCCTGAGGCGCTGCTGGTTCCTCCCTCCGCTTCTCTCCCCTTTGCCGTGATTTCCCCGCTGCTTTCCGCCCGTCTAGGGTGCCGGTGCCGCATCCGCCGGTGCCGGGATCCGTGGCGCCCCCAGCGGGGCAGGGGCGGCTGCCGCGGCCCTCACGGCGGGGCTGTGGAGCAGCGTCGTGTGGGTCTCCAGTGTTTGTCCATCAGCACGAAAAGTGCTCAGGGTACAGTTACCTGCTGAGGGGAATCTCGTGCAGTAAAACTCCAGAAAAATCTTGTAGGGTTTTGTTTTGGTGTTTTTTTAAAGATGGTTTTGTTTGCCTTTGGTGTTGGGTTTGTGGGTTGGTTTTTTTTGGGGGGGGGGGGGGGGGGGCGTTGGGTTTTGTTTTTTTGGTTGGGTTTGGGTTTGTTTGTTTGTTTTTGGTTTTTTGGGTTTTTTTTTTGTTATTTTTTAGGGTTTTTTTATTTTTTGTTTGGTTTTTTTGGAGGGGTTTTTTTTTGCTATTACACCCTAACCAATGCTTATAGAAGAATCCACTTTGGGCCTCACACTTTAAAGGAGATCCCTGGCCATAATTCCAGGTGCTTTCACAGAGTCATATTCTTCCTGGGTAGTTACAGGGTTCCAGGCATAGGGATGTTCTCAGTGGAGCTAGGTGGAACTCATTGTTGTCTTCATTTCTAAGTGCTTGTGAAGGAGAGGAACATAGTATTTAAAAAAAAAAAAAAAACAGGTGAAAAGGAATCAGCTGCTGATGGTGTCACTCTTGGTTAATAGTTTATTTTTAAGTGGGAGCACATAACTTGGAGTAGTTTACTTTTTACAGCACCTTTCTAGCACATTTTTGTTTAGGTGGGCAGAATTGCTGCCATAGGATTCAAATGGTTATAACTTTATTACCATTAGATTAAGCTAGCACAGTGTTGCTGAGACACACAGATGCTTTTCATGTTAAACATCTGGAATTGCAGTCTGAGTGGAAATCATGTCATTTCTATGATACAGACTGCATTTAGCATAGATCCATTGCTGGATTCATCACAAGTAACAGGCACCAATTCATGCTTTGTCCACAGTTAATAAACAATATTGCAGAGCAGAAAGTGCATTTGAGCTGCAGGCTTGGAACTACAGTGAAATTGAGAGATTCAGGGGGAGGTAAGCCAGTAATAGGAAGCCACTATGTTAAAGACTTCAGCTGTAATTTATTTTATATTTATGACATCTTAAGATTTCCGTGGGACAGAAGAAGTTGAGTTACTCTCACAGAAGGGCTTATTAGTCTCTATGGAACTTTCTTAGTTCCTCTTAAAAGCAAAGTAAAAATCTAAAAAGCACCTAACTCCCAAAGTGATCATGAAACACATCTTTATGTGAGTTTACATTATCTTTACATTTACTTGTAAAACTGATGTTCTTGAGCTTGAGGTACTGCACTGGAACATAAGGTACTTGGACACAGCTGTTGGCCCAAGCACAGATTTACTCCATCTTAGTTCTCTTATTCTTCCCATGCTTTTGTTTCCTAACTTTAAAAGGGAGAAATGATCCTTCTTTGACTTTTATTTTTCATGGTCACTTGCCATAAATTTTGGGGGACATAGGCTGTCATCATTAAATATGTGCAGCACATAATAGTGTTCCAATTAGAGAAATAATCTGTTTCCAAGTACATATGTTGGAAAATCCCTAGCTGCTCTCACACCTTAGGCTTTCATACCAAACTTCCGCATGTTTTACCCAGGTTTGATTGTTTCAGTTCCTTTGTGTAAGGCTGTCATTGCCTGTGGTCCGACCAGGTTTATCTTTGGGGCAGCTGAAATAGTTTCAAAGGGAGTTGGGCCTAAGAGGTGTGTACAAGAACTTGTGCTGAAGACTGTTTTGCAACAATTTTCAAGTGCCTGAAACTCCTCTTCAAACGTGCATAGAGTTGCCTTAGAGTTGCCTTAACTGCACATCTTGATGTGAAGAGAAGTATTTTGTGTGCTGGACAGGGCCTACCTCTTTCAGAAAACATTCAGGTAATATTTTATAGAAAAGAATTTCTCACACAAAATACAGGTCTTGTTTTCTTCCATTAACTTTTATTTTTAACTCTGCAGCCTGCTGGAACAAGCCAAAAATACTGTATTTCCTCCCAGTGATTCGTATTTAGTAGTGGTTATTCAGCTGAACTTTTGAAACTTGCATTCTTCCAGTCACTTAGTGAAAACAACATTTTTTTCTGGCTGCAGCCATGTTTTCCCTAGCTCAGTTCAGGAGATCATTAGGGTGAGATCTCAGATTATCCTCTTCTGTGGCCTCTTCTGGAACTCAAGAATGTGTTTGTGTTTCTAATGTGCAAATTTTCAGGGTGGTGGCAGCATTTGTTTTGGGAAAGAAGCTTCAATGGAACCGGTGCAGCAAGTTTTATCTGCATAGGTTTTTTTTTATCCTTGTTTTCAGAAAATTACCAAGAAAAAATATTTAGAATTCATAAAAACACACTTGTTATTTTTCAGATTAGAACCACACGTGAAAGTAAACTGTGTGATAGAAAAATAGGCCTAATTTTGTTTTTTAATGATTAATATGTAAAAACAGGAAGAAATTTTGAGTTGTTTTTTTCTGAGGAGAAACACAGTTAAAATATGAACAAAACTAGGAAAGAACTAGTTTCTAGCTAGTAAAAGAGCAGTTAATGTTAAAATGGAAATCTCACTTCAGTTCACTGGTGCTCAAGAGAATTTATCAGCAGTAGGCAGAATACCTTGATATGTTTGAGACTAAAAAGCAGAAAACCACAACCAGAGCTTCTCTCTCAAGACACCCTGTGTGCACACACAAATGCATTTCAGTGATTTCTCATTTCAGCTTTAGAGGAGAAAGGAGTTGTCTGTGGCACTGAAATGTATCTTCCTGCTTGTGTTGGGGAAAGTTTAAAATTCCAGATACTGCAAAACACCTGGTAAAGAAACAATAAATGGTTTAGCATTTCACAGCTGTCATGTTCTGTGTTTGATTAGACACCTTTGTTACAGACCAAGCTATTGAAATAATGCCACTCCTTTGCAGGTAATACAGTTTTCCACAAAATATTTCTTCTTTCCTTTAAAGTTCAAAATCTCTGATGATGGATGAAATCCAGCACCCACCTGAGCATCAAGTTCATGCAGCTGGACAATCTGTTGCTCCCCTGTCTGCAGCACATGAATTTCAGGACAGAGGTCATGACAAGCCAGGTCAAGATGGGTATACCCAGAGTCAAAGAAGAATGTTACAAAAATTCCAAAGCAGGTGACAAGTACAAAACATATTTTTCAGTAAGTGGAGCAGGGGATCAGACCTTAAAGTGTCTGGGTTCAGTGGTACCAGTGCAGGGTGCAGCAGAAGTTTTAGTTCATGGCCATGGCAGACAGTTCTGAGGATGCCTTGTGGTAACTTGAGGACAAGGATTGACAGTCAGATTTCATGTATTTTTTACTTTGAAAGGCAGATTTAGAAATGGCTATTTAACAATATTCTTTGATACACTGCCAGGTGTCATGATTTCTTCTTGCTCTCTTCCGAGTTTTTTATTTGCTTCTTTTGTTTGTTAAAAGAGCCTTGACAAAGGTGGGATGTAATTGTGTAGAGACTAAAAGCCCATCATTGGCTGAGCAGCTCAGACCTACTGAAAGAGTGAGGCCCCCCTTCCTGGCTGTGTGCTTTAACCAATTACCTTGTGAAGGTAATTACCTTGGTGCTTGCTGGGGCCCTCCCTGTGCCAGCTAACTCTGGAATCCATTGGGGAAAAGAGGGGAAGGGTGGCAGGGTCACAGGAACACATGAGTGAGCTGAGCTGGTGCTGGGAGAAACTCGTGGAGATGTGGAAGTGCTGAGGGGAGGTGGGAAGAGGGAAGATATGCTGGCTTCAGGGAGGGCCAAGCATTACATGGGCTCAGGTGTTCTGGCTCAGCTGGTTGACGTGGGGGAGCAGTGATGTTACACCCTGAGACCTCAGAAGGGGCTCCCAGCCAGCCAGGGCACCCTGCTCAGCTGTGCTGCTGGCTGGAGCAGGGCTGCTTGGGAGGCATCCTGGCTACCCAGCATTCCTACAGGAATACATCCCAATTCAGGCTTTGCACTGATGCTTGGGCCTCTTAATCCTTTCTGAAGTGCTGTGTTACAGGTACTAATTTCAGGGTCTGAATATTTCATATATGCATTGATCTCTGAAAACCCTTACTTTTATTACTGAAACTAGAATAAAAATTCCTATTTACACTACTCCCTGGGAATTTGCAGAGGAGGAGTACAAAAGCAGCTAATCTTTCCTTGTATTCCAGATACCTAGCAAGGAAGTTTTTCTATCTGTGGGCAAAAATGACATTTGGACAAGTTCTCCCTTCCAAAGCCAGGTACATAAAATTACAGAACTCAAAAGTGGAGGTTTTTTGTTGTTTGTTTGGTTTTTGTTTTGCCTTTTGTATGTTTGTGGGGGTTTTTTTACCACTGGGCTAAGAGAGTACTGGCTGCCAAGAAAATATTTGTATGTATTTTGAGATCACTTGAAGATTTTCTTTGGGTACCTTTCTTGCTCTTGCTTTTTTTGTTTGTTTTTAATAATCATGGTTAAGCTTCTATTAACCAAATTAATAGGAATTGTGTTTCAATAAAGTTTGATCAGTAAGTGCATATAAATGATGGGATGTGATTGGGATACCTGCTTTAAATTTAACTATTTCCCAAAGTTATGATGACAGAGATTTCACAGACTATTCTGAGTTGGAAAGGACCCACATGGATCATGAATTACTATTGTTTGCACTGTTGTTGTTAATGTATATCTGTGTATGTTTGGTATCTGTCAGACTTGGAAATACCTGTGGCAGATAATTCCTTTCTGCTGTCAGTGTTCTGTGAGCTGCTGAAACCCCATGCTTTGATATTCATTTCTTGTTTTGCATTAATTTGCATGTTCATTCTTGCTTGACCACACCCTTGGGAACTGAAGTAGTTCCCAGTGGGAAGACTTGCATCTGGAATAGGATCAGGTCCTCAGTCATTCAGTTCCATTTTTCTGTATCAAATATATTCTTTTTCTGCCTTTGTTGGAAGTTGGTCCTGTGAGCCTCACCACTCCTCCTGTCCCATCTACTGAGTTGGTACTACCTTGGCTATCAATTCTGCTCATGATGAATTTATTTTCTAAGGGAAATAGATTTTATAAAGACCAGCAAGGAGCACAAGCAATAATGAATTGCCTTTCTAGATTCAGAAGTCCCCAGTTCTCCATAGCTGTGATACCTCTTAGTGCATGTGCAATACTGTTCATACACCAGGTCCAAAAAATAACATATAGCTCATTTCTTTTTTCTTTTTTCCTTTTCTGCATGAGTGCTTGGAATGACTTAGCAGCTTGGCTCGGGGTAGGTGGCTGTAAATTGCAGCTTGTGAGAGCATAGATATGTTTCACTGAGAGACCTCTAGGTATTCTGGGCCTAATTCTGCTGTTATTACATGATAAAAACATCAGAGCATTATAAAATCTGCTGTAGCTTTTGTATTTGTTTATATATATAAAATATTTTGTGTTAAAATAGCAAAGGACAAGATTAGAAAGGAAAATACATGTATTGTTATCTACTGTTCTGGTTGTTAGAGTAAAACACAGAACTGAGGACTAAAGATGTGCATAGGTCTCAAGTCAACTGATACTCTGATGTTTGACAAGTTAACAACATCTGTCTTTTATTCCTTTATGTGAATTATTTACAGTCAGTAGAGTGATTGCTTCTTGCACTGATTGCATGGAGTCTTCAAATCAAGTGTCACAGTAGGGAAGTGGTTTTAAATGCAATTAGATGTTGTTAGGCTAATCAGGCAAGCCTGGAGAAGAGGTGGTGTCATATTCATTGAAACTGATTTGTGGTCACTCTGGAAACCTCTATGACGTTTCTTCTGCCCAAATCTTTCAACTCTTTAGATGTTTCTATGATCAGAAGATTCTTCAAAAGACTTTTGGAGAGTGGAAGGAGCAGTGGACAGTTTGCAGAGAAAAGAAGCTCAGCCTGAGAGCAGACAACCATTACAGGTTAGTGAAATAACTTCCCTTTGGGTTGTGTAGGAGACATTTTCTGAGGGAGTTTTTAGTACCAGTGAGCAAGTTCCATCCATGGTACATCTAGGCCAAGAGCAATCTTTTCATTGCTTATTTTAATATTTCACTAAATGGTACTTTCATTTTTCAGGCATTTACTCCTTAATTTGATATTCAAGGCTTGGAGAACTTATGTATGCCAACAGCAAGGCAAGAGGAACAAGAATTATGTTGCAGAGTCTCATGGTAAGTGAAGAGATGGAAATGACCAGTGTCTGGGGACATACTGAGATGGGAGTATGCACAGGGAATTTTTTACCAGAATCTGTGTCCCTTGTGCCTGTTTGCACCCTGAGCTCCCCCACCCTGTGGTAGTGCAGTGCTTGCAGGAGCAGATGGCAGGGGGTTCTGTCATAGGGGTGTAGCTGTATAGTTATTTAGGGATGCCAGTGAATAAGCTTAAGGGCCTCTCCATCTGCTCTGGACTGCACTGGTAGTTTTTGAGCTGGTGGCTTGATTTTTGGTTGGTTTTTTGTATGGTTGTTTGTTTTTTTTTACTTAATATATTTTCAAGTAGATGTTTTTTGATCAGAAGTTTTACTGGAATTCTCTATCAGCTGTTGCTATAGGCATTAGATAGTAATTCCCTGTGCTTTTAACAGCACTTATTTTATATCTATTGACTGGTCCTTCCAGCTTGTGTCTAGCAATTGAAAGAAGCCCAAACTTTTAAAGTGCCTTTGGTCTTACTGTGTAGGTTCTTTGCTCTGCCAGGGATTTGACTTAGAACTGTCTCTACTGGTAGCAGCTTTCCTGGGTTCAGGGAATGTTTTGCTGAAGGGAGTTGACCCTTGTTTCAAGAGGATACTGAGGTTTTGTTCTGTGCTGATTTGCAGAGGGAGTGAACTGCTCTCTTTGCACATGAACGTAGCCTCAGAATGTCCTAAGAATGGCACCTTTGGACACAAACTGACAGGCTGTCCAGAGCTCTTTCCTAATGAGTGAGGCCAGAGTATTTACAGCAGAAGCTGTGTGGTGCTTGGTCAAAAATAGGAAAAGGTGACCTGTATCAAGGTAGGTTAATGCTGGATTCACAAGGAAATCCTAAAAAAGAAAAGTCTGGGGTTCCTTTATGAGTGCGTGTGAAGTGGCATGGAATCAATGAGAGTTTTTTCTAATAATGTACTTTAGTAGTGTCAGTTGTGACAAGCCAACCTGCTGTGAGGAGAATATGCAGTGTGCTGCACTAAGTGGTAAACTGGAATTTGTGACACCACTTCTGTTTTTAGCTGCATGACCAGCCTGCTAAATAAAGTTGACTTGTTTCTGGTTCATTTCTCTGCTTGTAGGAGAGAATAACTCTTGAAAAGCAACTGATGAACTTGATCCACGTTTGTTTTTTTTTAACAAACCAAAGAGAATCCTCTAACTCTTACCCAGTAGAGTGTTATGCTGACTATTGTTGTGCAGTTATTTCCCCTGAGCACTGAAGACAGAGCGGTGATGGGCCATTGTCCGATAATTCACGCTGCTCTGCACAAGTGCTCGGACCGGACCGTGCTGTCAGCGATTCTGAGGCTTCTCGCTGGGACACCCTCGAGCAGAGCGAGGGTCGCTGTCATTTCAGGCTTTTCCACAAGGTGTCCCTGCAGGTTGAGGACGCAGAGTCGGGGGCGAGCTGTGGTGGAGTGGATGAGATTTGCCAGATGACAGAATTTAAGATGCTGCCGTTTTTTGTCATGCACAGCAAAGAGGCAAACTCTGCTCAGGACCTGGCAGCACTGGCTGGTTTATGTTGATGTTCAAAGGACAAAGCATGGGATGCAGGCTGTGGCACTGGCATTCAGGAGAAGAAGCTGCTTGAGGTAAGGGTGGAATACAAACAGGCAGAGAGGCACTGGGACTATAAGGCCTTGGCTGTTACCTGTGTTATGTTATCTTTTCCTAAAAGATAAAAAGTCACACCATGACTTCATTTGGTGTTTGATTTTTGTTTAAGAATTCTTTTGCTTTCTGGGATTTGTGAGTTCTTCTGGCACACCCATAGACTGAATTTAAGAGAGATTTTTACAGCAGCTTGCCAATGCCTGATGGAGCCTACAGGAAGGCTGGAGAGTGACTTTTGCAAGGGCATGCAGTGAGAGGACAAGGGGGAATGGCTTTAAGTTGAAAGAGGGTAGATTTAGATTGAATTTTAGGAAGAAATTCTTTACTCTGAGGGTGGTGAGGCACTGAAATCTGGAGATTACCCAGAGATGATGTTGATGCCCCATCCCTGGAAGTGTTCAAGGTCAGTTTGGATGGGACTGGGAGCAGTGTGGTAAATGGAAAATGTCTCTGCCCATGGCAGGTGATTGGAACAAGATGATCTTCAAGGTCCCTTCCAACCCAAACCATTTGTTGTTCATGCCTTTTTCCAGTCAGATGAAAGTGATTTTTTGCACCAAATGATGGCACCTGTGTTTGAACTTGTCTGTTGTTTTGGCAGCATTTCATGGGCAGTGTGGAGAAGACAACACTACCAGAAATGCACTGGACATAAAATGAATATTTTGGCTCTGCAGCATTGGGCCCAGAGCCTGCAATTTCGAGTAAGTCTCAGGAGCTTCAGCTGCTGCCATTTCTAATGTTTAAGTTGCACACATGTGAAAATGTTGAAAATTGCAGTACTAATGATGGAATATCATATCAGGACATGGGGAAATGGAATGAAGCTGTGTCAGGGCAAGTTTTGACTGGACATTAGGAAAAGGATCTTCCTGAGAGGGTGGTCGGTCCCTGAACAGACTCCCCAGGGAAGTGGTTACAGCACCAAACCTGTCAGAGTTCAAGGTGCATCAAGTCCAACTTCCTTCTTCTTGCAGCACTACTTAAAACTAAATCAGATGACTGGGAGTGTTGTCCAGGTTGATCTTAGCTGAAGTGAAAACAGCATGGGCTTCTTTTTTTCTTTCACTGAAACTGTGGCTTTTTGTCCATTTCATTAAAAAGAAAGGATGGTATTTAATTTGACCTGCACTATATGATGCAACAATACTGTTTTAGGGCAGCATTCTGCTAAGGAAAGAAGCTTGTGACTTGGGAAGTCTTATAATATCTCATGATGGGATTCCCTTTTATATGAAAATAATCTGAAAGAAAACCTGTTGGCAAAAGTATTATATTGGTCTTTTTAATGGGAAAAAGTGTGACAGTATTTAAAAGAGTGAAAAAAATCTTTGACTTTTTCTATGCTGACATTCCTTTGGTGTTTGTTTGGGTTTTGTTGGGTTTTTTCCCCTTTTTTGGGGGGTAACCTCATTGCACATGGCTTTCACCTTTAGAACTTAAATGGAATTTCTTATTGCATGTGTGTTTTTCCTCTCCTCCTCTTTGTTCTACTTCCCTAATCTTGTCTGGCTTTTCCCCTTACTGCCCTTGCCCCTTAATTGTTCCTTCAGGCTTGGTTGCAGTGGCGAGAGCTGTATTTACACACCCAGAATGAAAAGCAGAAGGACACCAGGGCAGTAACTCACCATCAGCACTGGGAACTGAGGAGATGCATGGGAGCATGGCTGGGATACCTGAACCTCCACAGAGTAAAGAAATGCCAGAATGGTGAGTGAAAGTGGGGAGGTGGGACAGAACAGGGCTCACCCCTTTGCTGAGGGCATGGTGGTGGCTTTTTCTGTTCTAGGAAACACTGCAATGTCTCTGCCCACCCAGGTCATGAGATGCAGCTTGGGCTGTACACTGTGACAGACCTGGCTTAGCTCATATGCTGGATTGTCAGGAAAATCAGCTGCTTTCCACAGGATTTAAAAGAAAATGTTCTGTAATTCCCTTGGTGAAAACGTGCATATTGTCTCTTGGATTTTGATTGAGATATCTGTGAGAAGGATGTATTCAAGACTTTGATCAGTCAGTCTGTGGATTTTCTTAATAATCAGTCAAATCACAACTCCTATAGGATGGTGAAGGTTGTTACACCAGTTCCTTTGTTTCTTCCCTTGAATGGGAATGAGTTCAGATATTTGTATGAATTGATTG